GGTATAGGAAGTTATTTGGTAATTCTCAGCTTAATGCTCATCCCAGACACATTGCTATGCCATAGGAAAATTTCACCAAAAACATATGACGAGTCTCTGCAAAATACATTTGAGAAGAGAACATTCATTTGCTCAGTAGGGTGATCCAGCTTCCAGGTTAGCCTTGTAAGCAGGAGGTCTGGGTTTCTTTTCAGAAACAATTCTCTTGAGTCTTGTTTTCAGTTTTTACCATATTCCTGACTCACTGCCGCCTTTCACTCTGGTGGAATTTCATCCCCGGAGGCAGCCCTTCCGTATATCTGTAGCTATCTGACTTGAACAGCTGGAAAGATATTTGTCTTTTATTTCTAGCAGTAAAAAAAATTGAGATTCATTCTAAGTATATTACTAGAAAAAATCCATCAGCGATCTATTTGTTAATGGATCTACCACAGTCTAACCTGATAAACGAACATACAGCTTTACTAAAAAAAAATGGAAAGACACAATGACAAGAACAAAATTCATCTAGGGGGGAAATTATATCAATACATTTAGACTATTTTTTTCAATGTAAAAATTTATTTGGGATGGCTATGGGCTGAATATTTGTGTCCTCCCGCAATTGCAGTGTTGAAATCTTAACTCCCAAGGTTATGGTATTAGGAGGTGGGGCTTTGGGGAGTTGAATAGGTCATGAGGGTGGAGCCTTCATGAATGGGATTAGTGATCTGATAAAAGGGCGCCTTCCACCATGTGAGGACACAGCAAGAAGTCGGCAGTGTGCAACCCAGGAACCGGGGAGGAGGTAAGGGTCTGCTCCAGACATCGAATCCGCTGGTACCTAGATCTTGGACTTTCAGCCTCCACAACTGTGAGAAATAAACTTCTGTTGCTTAAACTATGGTAATTTGTACAAGTAGCCTAAACCGACTAAGGGGCATTTTGGGATACATTGCTTGTCGTATTATGGAAAACAGAATTCATTAAGCAAAGTAAATAAGTATCTCAGTCTTCAACATGCATGTAAAGTCAGATCAGAGCTTTATAATGGAAAAGTAGCTGTACTTGTACAGATTAACAATACAGACATTAAGCTGTGGGGATTGTGAATTTTGAAAATGGAAATTTTTAAAAGATTGAGTAAAGCTTCTACTTAATTTTTCATACTCTTGAGGAGTTGTTCCTGTTGCTGGGTTAGAGGCTGTGAGGCCGTAGAAAACAGCACCTTAGATGTGACAACAGTCCTGAGTCCAACAGTCCCGACTGGCTCATGAACCATTACCCTGAAGAAATAAGATCCTTTCAAAATAACCTACATAAAATTAAATGAGAAGAAGAAAAAAGGAAAGCAAAGGCTCCACATGCCCAGGGAGCTTTTGTTTATGAAATGGAATCTGCTCACAGAGACGCTCAAGATTTTTCTGTTAAGGCTGAGTAGTCTTCCCTCTTGTGCTAGTGAACCTCCCAACACTGCCCCCCAGGGATGACCAGGGTGAGGGCTTGGATAATCATCTTGCCTATTAGAGTTCTTCCTAGAGGCTCATCTGTTCCCATTTTTAGAGACTGAAACTTTTTCAAAGAAGCCAAACTTCTAGAATTTGATGACATTTTGGTATTTTGAATTCTCACCCACCTACAAGGTAAAAACAGATCACCTTGTCAGGCAAGTCCCATCACAACACATCCTGCTTATCAGTTGCAAAGCTCTGTCCATCAGCCTCTGCTGCCTCATCTTTTCCCTCCAGGCTTGCCCTGCCGTCCCAAAGCTCCCCACTACCTGCAAGTCTGAACACACCATCTGTGTTGGACAAAGAGCTTCAGGCTGGGGTCCTGGGAAGCAAGAACTGCCTACAGCTTATCAGAGCAAGTCTAACTCAGGCATGACTCAGCAGTTCTGTGATCTCCACTGTCATTTCTCCATTAGGCTGGAGGGCTGGTCCTACTTGTGGACATATGCATCCCCCTCCCAAGTTCCTCCCTGCTGCAAAGGAATTCCACTGTGGAATCCATGCCATGGATAGTTTTTCTGTTGCAAATGCCCCAGCTACCTTACTTTGCCCCCAATTTGCTTCTGGATGTTTCTTACTCCCATTTTCTGAGTTTGGGATTATCAATCTAAATTTAAGAGTCGGGAACTCAACAGGGTTATCAATAAAACTTTGCAGTTATTTCTTTCAAACTTAACTTTTTTCCCTGTTCAAATGTTTTCTTCATTGTACAACAATTAAAGCACTGATGTGTGTTCTGTATAAGTCTTTGAAGTCTGAAAGGACATTTTACTTTTAACCTGACCAAATGTAATATAAGTAGCCTTTTTTTCCCCTGCTTATTTTAAAGCTTACATGAAGCTGCAGAAGGCCAAAGGGGGCACCCCTGCTTCAGAAAAAGAAGGAACAAAACTGCATGGCAAAATACTTGATAAGACGTGGCAAGTGGAATCTTTGCTGATTTTCTCTTATGACTTTGAGAAGTATGTTTCCTTAAAAAGAAAAGAAAGAAAAAGAGAACCTACCAAAAATATTAATGCTATATCCAGAGTTCTAGAATAATCAAGAACAGAATCATTTTTAAAGAAAAGGAAGCAGGTTTCGTTACTGGTATTTCATCTTCTCCACTGATTTGCATATTCCTTGACAAGATAAACTTCAGGGAGCTGCCCTGTGTTCATTTCACAAATGGAAAATAACAAGTACAGTCATCAGCTAAGCTTTCACAAAGGACTACAATCTGAGATTTGACTTTGAATCAAGTATCTGACACATTCCATTGAGCATGCCGTTCAAAAATCTCATACTCGAGATGCACTGAGAATGCATGCATTGAGCACACACATCCCCGCTGCCCCCAGACTGCACTCCAGACAGCCCCCTGCGCACACATGTTCTAACACAGTTACAACAGAGCATGCTTCAAAGCCATCAAGCTTCTGTAGCCTCCATCCAATAAGCTGCCAAAAGGATGCTCAAGCAGCAATCGAAGTCCAGAGGGCCTGACCTCTGGAACCCACAGCCGCTCCAGAGAATTTCCCCTGAGGACCAGGGCCTCAGAGGAGGCCGAGTGGTGAGGAGGCTGCTGAAAAAGCCCCCCACAGTCATTCTGCTTTTTGCTCTTATTTTTCCTCACTCATCTTTCTCTGGAAAACAAACTTATTCTGGGGGTTCAGATAGGCTATGTCACCCAGTAGTAACAATAACTACTAGCAAAATGAGACACAGAACAATAGTTCTAGCAGAACAATAGTTTTAAAATTATCTAATGTTCTCTTGGCTTTCTGGCTTTTAAATTTTCTTATTTTGTTTTTCCATTCCTTTGCTGCAAATTGAACACTATGCTTAAGCCAAGAAGGCATCATAAAGCTCTGACTTCAAAGCCGTTCCTTGATAAAGCATGAAAATAAACCAGGGTGGGCCAACTATTACCTGGAATTCTACAGATAATTAATTGAACCTCAGTGCTAACTTGACACTGGGGGTTTCTGCAGCCAAGGTCATTCTCATGGTCTTGCTTGATTTTGTTGCTGTGTCTCCTGTGTTTTGTTAGGCATGGAGAAGCTTGGCTAGTCTCTCAATAAAATTGCATGTTATGGTGCAAAGGGAACTTGAATTCCTGGGTGGCCTTGCTGAGGCAACGTGCACTGTTTCCATTGTTGCTCCTTGAGGTGAATCATTTTGTTCCTCTCTCTTGACCTGGAAACACCCCTTGTCTGCAGAAACACCCCTTGTCTGTGCCTTCTCATGGTCCTTTCTTTATTTCAGAGGAGTGGCCTACTTTTTGCCTTTCCAACTGTTTTGTAAAATGTGACGGTACAGAGTCCCCCACTTGACTTGGCCACCCCATGGCTACACGACTGAGGTCCTCTCTCATCTGCCAACCTTCAAAGTGCAGCCCACCCAACCCTGTGCTTGAGTCAAGCCCATGGTCTCACCACTCCACCCCCCTACCCTGCACCTGTGCATTTTCCCACTCCCTGCCTCCATGCACTGCCCATCCTTCAAGCCACATCTCCCTTTAAATGCAAAGACTCACCTAAAGGCCCACCACCTCTTCCAAGGAGCCTCCCCTGATTAAGTGGGGGATGACAAAACCTCCAAAATATAACTGACAAACTCCCAGTAAATGAGAACACACACACACACACATACCCCACAACAAACACAGAAACTCACAAAAAGAGAAAATCGTGCATTCTCTACTTTCAGATTGTTGTAAACTCCTATGAGGGTAAGAAGATCAATTTTATACCCATAATCAATTAGTCATTTCAGACCATGAGTTATTTTTAACATTCTTGGGGATTACTCAACAAAACGCTGCTGTGTCTTCCCTCTCCCACTCATCCTTTTCTTTCTTTAAATCCCCCTTTTCTTCTCAGCTTTTTCTCCTTACTATTTTATTTTATTTTTTGTTGTCTTCTCAGCTTCTTGAATATGCAGCTAATGGGGACCACCACTCCTGATATGGATGACACGATTCACAGTAAAAGAAGCTGGTCTTTGCAATCCCTCCTGGGTCGTGGATCACACTGCCCAGGAGAACCTGTATTGGAGGCTGGCAAATGCCTTAGCCTCTTAATGTTCTCTTCTCGAAGGTTCAGCAGTTCCATGCCTACCTACTTCCTGGGCAAACACGTCCAGTCCACTGGGACAAGGGACCAAAGCTCTTTAGAGAAGGCCCTGCCAAAAGAATGGGGGCAGATTCCCAACAAGACCCAATATCCAGCCTCAAATAAAGCTGCTGGAGAACAAGGGGATCTCTAAAGAGCCCTGGATCTGAGGGAGCCACAGCAGGAAACAGACACAGACATGTCCGCCCTCTCAGGCCAGCGTTGAACTCATTTGTGAGGACTGGGAGGCTCGTGGCATAAAACAACCAGAACATGGAGCGACAGATGGGATGGCGATAGCTGGCAATTAGGACATTGCGTCAAACAGCACTGCCACAGAAGCTTTCTAGCTACAAAGCCACGCTATGCAACCTTTGAGCAAAACATTATTGATTTTGTGGTTGTGAAAACATACCTTCAACTGCAGAACTCAGTTTAAGGACACCTTGAATAAAAACAAAAAGTGGCAGTTATACAACGGACCCCAATGATCTTGTCCAGTCTTCTCATCAAACACACGTGCTTCAGATCTGTAGTTTCTCTGGACAAATATCAACTTCAAAAATGAAATAATTTTCAGTCCTTGATTAGGCCTCATGGGGGTACACATTTCCCCACTAAAAATGTTTAGAGGAATTTTTCACTCAGTAAGGGATCTGTTTTTGGATGAAACAAAGGTCACATCTGCCTAAATGGATATTTCTATATATAAATGATGCTGGAAAATAGATTGATGAATGTTCACACAAGATAATCTGTACAGAGATAATCTGATACATGTTGGGGTGGGGTTTCTGTTGAAATATGTAACAGGTGGTTAAAACCATGGTGTGATCTGGCAAATTCCTTCTCTAGAGTGGTTGGGCCATTGGCCATTTTCTGTTCTGATGTATTCAGCACACTAGCTCCCTGCAGGGGTCAGACTGTGAAAGAGCTATCTGAATGTGTCTACTTGTTCTTGAACAAGTAGACATTACTCTTGACTGGATATTCATGAGCCTGTTTCATGAATTCAAGGGTGAAAATAATAAAATAAATTATTATTTTTTCCTGTTCTGATGATTTGACTTAAGATGGTATTTTTTGTAGGTCATAGTCATAATAAATAAATAATATTCCCCAAACGCTATGTGATAACCATGGCATTAGGCTGAGCAGAAATGTCTCCAAGTTTCATTTGAATGACATTCTGGTTTGCTTTCAACCTAGAGGAGTTTCAAATTACCAACAGAAACAAAACCCATTTAATACTGGTAAACTAAATTGGGATGAGCATGAACACACACTGATTTTTAACAGATTCTGTTCACAAACAGACAAACTTGCTCTTTATTACAACTTTCTGAAAAAGGTGCTTTTAAGTTACCTATTGGATTTCATTTTTCCTGTGTCTGATCAGTATTTAACAAGGTTGCCAGGGAAAAATGTATGCATTTATACATATGTGCATTTATTACAACTTTATTGATATTACTGATGTGTAGCATGCAACCTACAAATAGTGATAAAATAGACAGTATTCTTTATTACAAGTTCCATATGGCCAATTGATTCTTATAGAATGCTTTTGTTGATTTTGGCCAAACTCTTGTGTCCAAAGGCAGCAAATCAACCAGGATTGGACAAAATCATACATTGAGTGGCATCCCACCCTGCTCTTCTGATAAATTGATTATCATTACATCTTCTGTGTGATGTACTGCTGAACTACTTCTCACTTTCATATAAGTTATTTTCATTAAATTAAAAGTCTTCCAACTTCAATACTATGTAAACACTCCCACCACGGCCTCTTTCAAGCTTCCAGCTTGACATCACTGAATGTGGTGTTGGTAAGAAATGGGCAGTAGCAATATGATTAGATAATATTTCTACCAAGTGTGTACAGCAGATGTAAACAACCTCAAGAATATGGACAGTAAAATGCAGTCAAATGATTAGGAAATGACAAGTTTCAGGTATTTATTACCTTTGTTTTTAAATATAATTTATTTAATTGCAATTATATAATTTCACTTGTTATAATGGCTGTGTTAAAGAATGGACTTGCAAAATTCCCCAAAATGTAACACTTGGCTTCTGCAAGCTGATATGCAGCAGATCTAAGTATGCCATTGTCACAACATCAATGCCATTGATGTTTCTTTCCACTCAAGCCTAGAGAAGAAAATTTTGATCTTCAGAATATTTACTGAGATATTCTCAAATGGGGTTAGAATTTAACAGGCCTGAAGATGAGTAAGCTTAGCATTTACTATTATTTTGCTAGTAGTTTCAAAACCTCTCAACCCTGTGACACACAAAAATATACTCCACATAGACTACCTGCCACCTTGGAAATAACAGTCATTGACAATCAGCTAAGAACACAGCCTAAACGGGCTTGGCCTTCTGGTCTGGCAACTATGATGCCAAGGGGCACGAGTCTTTGGTTTTTTAAGCAATGATCCTGTCTTTTTTAAGATTGTAGAAACTTTAGACAGGAAACCAGGTCAGAATATTGATTTTTTAAAACCATATTCATTGATTTATTTATTTGTGTATGGACATGGGTATACAAAATAACCAGTAATCCTCAATAACAGCAAGTGAAAGGACAATAATGTACTCTAATCAATATGAGAAATAATTTTCAGTCCTTGATTAGGCCTCATGGGGGTACACATTTCCCCACTAAAAATGTTTAGAGGAATTTTTCACTCAGTAAGGGATCTGTTTTTGGATGAAACAAAGGTCACATCTGCCTAAATGGATATTTCTATATATAAATGATGCTGGAAAATAGATTGATGAATGTTCACACAAGATAATCTGTACAGAGATAATCTGATACATGTTGGGGTGGGGTTTCTGTTGAAATATGTAACAGGTGGTTAAAACCATGGTGTGATCTGGCAAATTCCTTCTCTAGAGTGGTTGGGCCATTGGCCATTTTCTGTTCTGATGTATTCAGCACACTAGCTCCCTGCAGGGGTCAGACTGTGAAAGAGCTATCTGAATGTGTCTACTTGTTCTTGAACAAGTAGACATTACTCTTGACTGGATATTCATGAGCCTGTTTCATGAATTCAAGGGTGAAAATAATAAAATAAATTATTATTTTTTCCTGTTCTGATGATTTGACTTAAGATGGTATTTTTTGTAGGTCATAGTCATAATAAATAAATAATATTCCCCAAACGCTATGTGATAACCATGGCATTAGGCTGAGCAGAAATGTCTCCAAGTTTCATTTGAATGACATTCTGGTTTGCTTTCAACCTAGAGGAGTTTCAAATTACCAACAGAAACAAAACCCATTTAATACTGGTAAACTAAATTGGGATGAGCATGAACACACACTGATTTTTAACAGATTCTGTTCACAAACAGACAAACTTGCTCTTTATTACAACTTTCTGAAAAAGGTGCTTTTAAGTTACCTATTGGATTTCATTTTTCCTGTGTCTGATCAGTATTTAACAAGGTTGCCAGGGAAAAATGTATGCATTTATACATATGTGCATTTATTACAACTTTATTGATATTACTGATGTGTAGCATGCAACCTACAAATAGTGATAAAATAGACAGTATTCTTTATTACAAGTTCCATATGGCCAATTGATTCTTATAGAATGCTTTTGTTGATTTTGGCCAAACTCTTGTGTCCAAAGGCAGCAAATCAACCAGGATTGGACAAAATCATACATTGAGTGGCATCCCACCCTGCTCTTCTGATAAATTGATTATCATTACATCTTCTGTGTGATGTACTGCTGAACTACTTCTCACTTTCATATAAGTTATTTTCATTAAATTAAAAGTCTTCCAACTTCAATACTATGTAAACACTCCCACCACGGCCTCTTTCAAGCTTCCAGCTTGACATCACTGAATGTGGTGTTGGTAAGAAATGGGCAGTAGCAATATGATTAGATAATATTTCTACCAAGTGTGTACAGCAGATGTAAACAACCTCAAGAATATGGACAGTAAAATGCAGTCAAATGATTAGGAAATGACAAGTTTCAGGTATTTATTACCTTTGTTTTTAAATATAATTTATTTAATTGCAATTATATAATTTCACTTGTTATAATGGCTGTGTTAAAGAATGGACTTGCAAAATTCCCCAAAATGTAACACTTGGCTTCTGCAAGCTGATATGCAGCAGATCTAAGTATGCCATTGTCACAACATCAATGCCATTGATGTTTCTTTCCACTCAAGCCTAGAGAAGAAAATTTTGATCTTCAGAATATTTACTGAGATATTCTCAAATGGGGTTAGAATTTAACAGGCCTGAAGATGAGTAAGCTTAGCATTTACTATTATTTTGCTAGTAGTTTCAAAACCTCTCAACCCTGTGACACACAAAAATATACTCCACATAGACTACCTGCCACCTTGGAAATAACAGTCATTGACAATCAGCTAAGAACACAGCCTAAACGGGCTTGGCCTTCTGGTCTGGCAACTATGATGCCAAGGGGCACGAGTCTTTGGTTTTTTAAGCAATGATCCTGTCTTTTTTAAGATTGTAGAAACTTTAGACAGGAAACCAGGTCAGAATATTGATTTTTTAAAACCATATTCATTGATTTATTTATTTGTGTATGGACATGGGTATACAAAATAACCAGTAATCCTCAATAACAGCAAGTGAAAGGACAATAATGTACTCTAATCAATATGAAGAAACAGGCCCTAGGCAAATAAAGCAAGAAAACCTAAACAAATTCTTATGGGAGATGTGGGTGGTGGTAGATCAGAGCCCAGTAATGCATTTATTGAGTAAAGGGAAACATGGTAATTTAAAAAAACAAATAAAAGTCTGACTTTAGAACTCTAAATATAAACATTATTTTAATAAAAAGCATTAATGATTCATTAGCTCCTTGTAGACTTCTCTTATTTGCTTAAAAATCAAGTTTTCCCTGCATTAGGGTAAGCCTTTATATTGCAAAGTAACTATGTCATAGTGAAAACCTAGAATTAGCTAAATCTAGTTAGGGAGCTAAATTAATATTATGCAAAAAAATATAGAATAAGGGTAAAATATATCTTTCATGTTAAATTACTAACATTTAAAAAATTTGAGTATTTAAGAAATGACTGATGTTGATGCTGAAAAGCTACATGTAGCATTGCCGACTTTCCAGACACACAATAGACATTATCTGGTGACTGGCTGACAATGACATTGCCTGGAATTCAGGGTAAGGCATAACACACAGAAATGTGTGTATATACACACAATAGATCCTGACCCCACTACCTTTAATTCTTAACAGTAAGCAGAAAGGTTGAAAATTAAATAGAAAAAAAAAAAAAGAGAGAAAAGGAAAATAAAGCCAATTGTTTTTTTTCCTCAACTCAGTATCTTTCATGCAACAAAATTCATAATCTTGTGGGTGATTCAAGCAGATGACGTCCACTGTCTTCCTCCAAGTCAGAAGTGAA